AGCGGTGTTAAAACTAGGATCAAAAGGAGCTTGCTTAAAAGCTCTGAACACCTGTGGGTCTCACTTGTTTGTTATCTTCTGCTTCTATATAATGTGTCTACTTAATTATGTATTGTACAGGCTTGGAAACGGTTTTCCTCCTCATGTTCACAATATGTTCTCAGTCTTGCATCTTCTCATTCCTCCAGTGTTAAACCCCATTGTTTATTCTGTTAGAACAAAGGAAATTCGTCAAGCATTTCTGAAACACTTCCTAAAGAGAAAACTTCACCCTGTCATTGACCACCATTGATTATTTTAATAGTCAAGATAGAAGCCACTGCTATAGACATATCAGGTAATTCCAGACCATTTTGACTAGAATATTGGAGGCAGATAATCTAAAAAAAGTAATGGATTAAGAAAAACAAACATCAACTTCAGTTAGTGAGCAAAATAATGTTTTTACCTTCAGCTATTCTTTATAAACACAAATGCAATATTCATAAATGTAAATAGTGTCTAAACCAAAGTGATGTATTTAATAACATGAATTTGAAACCCGCTTTAAAAAACATATGTCAGCTATGAAGGGCCAAGTGATTTTTGTGTCAGTCTGTGGGTACTGTGGGAGAAACTGCTAATTTTGCTCATCATTAGGTGTTGTTGAAAAGGGTCTTTTCACCAGGTTTATGAGATGTATAAGATGCAGCCATATGTCTGAAAAAAGAAACCTTGCACTTCATATGAGGAGCTTCCCAGGCTACATCATTTCACAGCTGCCTCAGTATATCCTTTGATCATGTTGAATTACTGTGGTTCACAGTGCTGAGGACGGGTGTTGTGTGAGATGATGCCCATAGCTTCATCCGGGGATGCACAACTGGGATCATTAAACAAAAAATATGTTGGATTTTTTGTGCTCTCATTTGTCTCAATTATTTTTGTCGTCTACTGATTAATGTTTAAAGAAATGCAATCTTCTGGCCTATTGTAAATTTCAGAATTAAAGACAAAGGAATGTAAATTGGGATTGTTTGCGACAAGGCTTCTCCATGTGAGGAAACATACAGTAAATAGTTATTGTTATAAACGTATGTTAGTTCAAACTGTCATTGGTGCATTATGAATTTTTCCTTTACTCAAAACAAAGTTTCTGTGTTTATCTACATCTATAACTTTAAGGGCATCCATATTCTTATTAGCTATTAAACTTGAAGGGGACAGGGCCAGTAATCTGTCTTCCTGAAGACAAAGGAGTTGCATTTTTGAAAGAAAACAGATGTTCTCAGTAGTGATGTCTGTCTGTGTTTTAAACACTGTACACCGTGTGTACAGTACAGGACAGTTCTACTACAGATTCTTCTGAAAAAAGTTCTGAAAAGGTTTAATGCATGATCAATTTTATGGTGAATGTTAGCTGAGAAACAAACAACAGAACGTCTGTCATGTAGTTTGTCACATTCATTCAGAAACAGTTTTTTCATCACTTTTAAGGCACGTTTTCTGTTACCATGCTCATTTTCTTAGTAATTGAAATTACTATTCACAGAGAGTGATTTAGAAAAAGGTTGTGCCATAAAACATTGGAATGTATTACAGACGTTCTTTCTGTCATCATTACTGTGCTACTAATTATCAAAAATATTTTGAAATTCCACATAGAGTTTTTTATATTTAAAATAGAGAGTCAAAATAATTTCCTTGTGAAAGTTCAAGAGGTTTCCTCATGCATGCACTTTAAATAAGCTTTATTTAGTGACTGAAAATCAGTGACATACGTACAGTAACACACCCTGAAATGCAGAAAAAGCTTTTGCTGAATTGCTAAATGTTGAAATACGGTGCTTTAGAAAATGGACAGCTTCTACAAAAAGAGTTTACAGTAAGAAAGTAAGGGACAA